CTTGCTACATTAACCCAAATCCATAAACTAGCACTTCAGTGTCTTGGATCTTTTCACATTTTTGCAGTGATTTTTGATGTTGCATAGAGCCTCAAGCTTCCGCCACATATTTGGATCCATCTAGGCTTCCATGTTTTGTAATTTGAAGAATTTCATACTCAACCAAAGCACTTTTTAGATTGATACCAACTACCACAACCACCACCAATTGTAGTTAATGACCAATAAGAATATGAAGTGGACAATATTTTGAAGCATTGCTATCTTTGTTGTAGTAGTGGACATCCACAACTTCAATGCAAAGTTCTTTGGAAAAGTTATCCTATTTACGATGCAACATGAAAACTTGTACAAAATCTCACCCATTGCCAAGAGACAATTTAAAGATACTATCGGGAGCAAAACGAGGATGTTTTGCATTAGTGGATGGGAGTTAATTGTAACATGATATAGATAAGTTAATTGTATAGATAGTTAGAATCATGGAAGTTTCTAAAATTAAGGTTAGATTAGTAGATCAGATAGAATCCATCGTGGAATATTTTAAAAAGAGTTTAAGGTGGTTATTTACATAGAATCTATTATAGAATCTTCTAAAAAAAGCTTAAGGTGATTATTTAGGTGGAATCCACTATCTAAGAATATTTTGGAAAGTCCAGGGTGGTGAGACATGGTATAAATAGGACTGGCTAGGACCTTTTGGAGCATCTAGTCAAGTATACCTTTGGACCATTTCTCTTAGTAAAGTTTGGTTTTTTATCATTTTGTTTAGATCTATTCTATTTTATTTTTGTTTACTCAATTTTTTTCTTTCATGTTCTATTTTGTTTAGTTCCATTCAAATCTGTTCTAGTCTGTTTTGTCCTATTTTGTGATGAAGCTTTATGTTACTGTAGATTAGAAGGATCTTGGATTTTTGAGGTAGTTTGGTCATGTTTCACTTCTTCACCCTTATCATTGCCTTTTTAATTGTTAGTCTTGTTTTCAGACTTTCTAGTCTTCTTGTTTTTGGCAATAGCCATCCTACTTCATTATTATATTATCTTTAAATGACTTTCTAGTTCCTTTCTAGTTCCTTTCTAGTTCAATGACATAAGAGTGTATTGAGGATTTTCTTTCTTTGAGATTCATGTCCTTGACAGCCTTCTTATGGGATTTTTAAATTAAAATTCAAAATACCAATTGTTACACTTCACAACAAAATCAATGTTTGAACATCAAGTAAGTTTAGCATTAATTCTTTACCTTATATTATAATTTGTAGAAAAATTGGCTTATGAATATAATATCATTTTACTTGATATTATTTATAATTTGATGAAATTATAAAGCATGTAATATTTTTTATTAATTATCTTGATACATAATGCAAATCTTATTAGTTGTAATACAAATTGCATCATATTTTCTTTATATAGCTAGAAATTTTACCAAAATAGTGTATAAATTATTTAATATTAGATTATATTATTAAAAAAGATAAAATTTATAATAAAATAAAATTTAAAAGTAATTTTCTAATAAATTTGACTTATAATATTAATATTAGATATCTTAAAATTGAAATTCAATTATCAAATATACTTGATTAATGAATCCTTAAAACTTTGAATTTATGCCATCAAACTTCTTTAGCAATACAATTCTTAGTTTTTTGACACTTGAACAATGTTCTATTATAGAAGAACTAACATAATTTGGTATAGATGTTGAAGCACATTTAATTATTTCTATATTTTTACTTCTAACTAATCTTGTTGCTTCTTGTGGTAGTAAATTGATTTGATGCATTCCAAGCATTAATTTTATTTATTTATTTTTTAAATTTAAGCTATTGTTGTAATAGGGTATAGATAAAATAATTATATAGATAATTAGAACCATAGAAGTTTCTAGAATTGAAGTTAGGTTAGTGGACTAAGTAGGACCTATCATAGAACATTTCTGAAAGAATTTAAGGCAGTTATTTAGATGGAGCCTATCATGGAACCTTTTAGAAAAAGAGTTTAAGGCGGTTATCTAGGTGGAAGTCACTACCTAGGAATATACTAGAAAGACTTGGGTGGTGGGACAAGGTATAAATAGGACAAGCTAAGGCCTTTTGGGATATCAGGTCAGGTATGGCTTTAGACCCTTTCTCTTAATAAAATTTGGTTTTGCATCTTTTTGTTTAGATTTGTTCTGTTTTGTTTTTGTTTGCTCAATTTTGTCATTCATGTCTTATATTGTTTACTTTGGTTCAATTTTTTTATGGCTTGTTTTGTCCTATTTTGTGAAGAGGCCTTATATTGTTATGGATTGGAAAGATCTTGGGTTTTTGAGATAGTTTAGTCTTGTTCCAATTATACTCTTCATTTCAACAAGTTTTGTTATAATAGTACAATAAAAAAGAATATGTTTAATATTGCTTGAAGTAAGTAGAAAATTGAACAAATATTTTTTGAAATTAATATCAATTTAGAAGTGGATAATTTATAACTTCTAATATGCTTATATCTAATCAAAAAAAAGAAGGAATAATTTACTTTTAATCAAGACAAAAAAAATAAAAAAATAAAAAAATAATATTGTAAGTGTTGTCTTTTTAATTTGTCAAGGACAAGAACTTTAAGATTGTATATAAACAAACAAAATATGTATCAAAGAGAGATGACAAAAAATAATAAAAATAAAAATAAAAATAAAAACATAAGTATATAGATTTAAAAAGAAATTGAAATGGTTATTGCCAAAGAATAGAATAATTAGAGATTCTTAAAATTAGATTAGAAGCAATAAATGAACTGATAAAAGTGAGAAAGGCATCACTCTTTCTTCCATATATACTATCTAATTAGAAGTTATATAGCATTATTTTATAAAACTTCTAATATGTATCCAACTTGTAAGACATATATCTAATTTATAATACAAGTTTCTTATATATGTGCCACATGTCCAATTTTTATTATAAGAGGCCAACATGTGCAACACATGGCTAACTTATTGGCCAAATTTTTAACCTACCAATCATTTATAAACATGTATAAATACAAATCTATGTTTATAAAGCTTCAAAAAAATTTGTTCATAAAATATTATTAAATTTACTTACTTTTACTAACTTCTATCTATTCATATTATCTAAGTGATTATTGGAATATATATATATATATATATATATATATATATCCATGACACCTAAAGCTCTAAGAATGATTTTTAATATTTGAAATTTATTTAATATAAAAAGTGATTCCTTGGAAAATATTGAAGGAATCACTTTCTATATTAGTATAAATGTGAATACTAAAATACAAAATGTAAAGATTGTGGTCATCTTTATATTTTATAAAAAATATAAAACATCTAAGAAGATGGTAGTCAAAAGCCTTAAAGTTAGCATTATTCATTATCTTAAAGTAGGAATGAGAAGTTAGTTGATTTTTTTTGTTAATTTTTTTTTAAGCAACATAAATTTGAAAAATTAGTTTTAATCTAAAAAAACGTGATGGATTATAATTAGATGCTCCAATTATAATATAAGCTAAGGAAGCCGTGTTGGTTGGAATAAAGTCGGGGAATGTACCAAGAGCCGGACATGGCCGTCAGCCCCTCTCCAGCAGGGCTCACCTGCAGTGTGGTATGTGCACCTACCTTCTATTGCGACCCTCTATCGCAGGCTCACACCCTGCTTACCTACCCTTTCCCACCGTAATCAAGCTCCAGCTCCTTGTTTCTGCAACCATTTCGTATCCTCCTCCATGTCCGTTACCTTTCCATGTGGAGAACTTCCCCGTGATAGCGTGCCCTTGGCGTTTACGGTTGAGCTCATGCTGAATTGTGATTGCCAGGGTGATTGAGCATGTGTATGTCTGTTTGCGTTTTGTTTGCATGTGAATTATTAAACCTTGGCTTCTAGTGGGGTTTTCCGCAGGGATTGGTCGTATGAGGTTTATTCGTCTACTCAATTGTGCAGGACGCCACATTGGAGTCCATATCCTGCATTTGGCTGCTCATGGTGGTGGATAGGAGTACGCCAACTTTCATGTGCTCTACCTTTAACCTCCGTAGGTTGTACTTCAGCTGATCTACGCAGATGGTTGTATTGAGAAATGAATGCTTTGTCATAGCTGTTGAAATCAAGTGCTCAGGAGGTATGAGTTACCCTTTTTTCCGGCCACAGAAGCATGTGTAAAACTTCCAACAGCCAGGAAACTTTACATGTCTCACAGGGATGAGGCCTTGATCGGTGACGATTTCAAGCGCACCTCCATGAACCTTGATTTTTATCCTCTCAGGAATGGGAAATGCTGGAGAAAAATTTGGAATTCCAAGGGAATTTATCGACCATCGTTGACATTACCCCTCCGAGATTCTGCAACTTCTCGCGCTAGAGTCAGGGCATTCAGTAGCTATACGAGCAGATACTCTGAGTCCATGTCTGTTTTCAACGTTGCGAAGGTTTGGCGTGATCTGGAAAAGCAAGCCATGCTTGCAACAGGTGTGTACACTACATCCAGTGTGCCGGGAAATGGTCGGAAGGATGAGATTGTCACTCTAAGACATCTCAATGTGATCCACACCGAGGAACCTGCCTCAGCTTCTGTAAGAAATGAGGTTTGCCGTCGGGTGCGAAGACAACTTGTTTATCTCATTTGTGGAGTGTTATCTGAGCTGGGGCAAGCACCAACGTCTCAATCTTGAGGAACTCATGCAACACCCTTGGATACTGGTGGTGAGCTCTGAATCTGTTTCAAGTCGTGCATGCAGACTAGTTGATAGTTCCTTTGAAGACCATGGTTTCTGCTTCATTCAATTTTAGTAAGGAATATGGATTCATGCCAATCCTCTTTTACGAAGCTTCGACATTAGCATCATTTACGGTCACGTTCACCCGGTAGGGCTTTTAGCGGTGGGTGAGAAGACGGTCACGGGTCCTCCTCACGCGGCCACAGGCACCCGCCTCTCGGCCCGCTTTCGCTGTGTGCGAGTGAGTGAGTGTGCCTTTAGTGCGTGCTGCGCCCTACTACCATCCATAGCCAGCCAGGAGCTTCATTCAGGCTTGGTGCAGCCCCGCTGCGAGTGCGGATCCGTGTGCGAACCGCGACCCAGTGGACGCACCCCAGGATTTGGTGGTCTGAGGAGGAATTGGTGTTGCACTTGGGCGTGAGGAGAAGCCGCAAGGATGCCGAAGAACAAGGGAAAGGGAGGAAAGAACCGGAAGAGAGGAAAGAACGAGGCGGAGGACGAGAAGCGGGAGCTGGTGTTCAAGGAGGATGGGCAGGAGTACGCGCAGGTGTTGAGGATGCTCGGGAACGGGCGGTGCGAGGCGCTGTGCATCGATGGGACTAAGCGGCTTTGCCACATCCGGGGGAAGATGCACAAAAAGGTGTGGATTGCGTCGGGGGACATCATATTGGTGGGTCTGAGAGATTACCAGGACGACAAGGCGGACGTGATTCTGAAGTACCAGCCGGACGAGGCCAGGCTTTTGAAGGCGTACAGCGAGCTGCCCGAGAACGTGCGTCTGAACGAGGGTATCGCCGGAGGCATGGACGATGAGGAAGACGGTGGCGGTGACGACTACGTGGAATTCGAGGATGAAGACATCGACAAGATTTGAGGAGGGTGCGACGCTGGGTTTGTGTTGGGGGCGTACGCAGCGGAGGGCGTGGGAGGTGGGGGGGGGGGGGGTGGTAACCCTAAGTGTCGATGATGTTTATGTTCGTAGGAACAGGGACGAAGCTCTGGTGGACAAGTTGGTGAGATTCCCGGTCTGCGAAGAGACGGAACGGAAGTGCGAAGTGTACATGGCGATGGAGTATGGAGGGCGATTTAGTGGAGTTATGTGGTAGCAGGGCGTCCGTGGTTGGGGAATAGGGTGGAAGGACCGGGAAGTGGGTGTCCTGGAAGTCCTGGAAGTGGGATATTTATGAATTCAGACTGCATGTATTTTGTTTTTGCGATGTTCCGTCACTCACCTTGACGTATAGCTTTTGGGAGCTTGAGTCATGCGCGTGCTGGTTGTGGGCAACTTTGTCCTTGGGAGTTTTTTTTGCACTGTCCCTACACATCTACGGTTCAGTCCTGAAACTGGGGCTGCGGATGTGAAGGCCGTTGCAGTGCAGCATGCAGTTTATAGTTAGGGCATTTCAAGAATGACAGTTACTGGGTGCGTACATATGTCTGACAGATTATTAGTCTGCACGGTACTTTTGTGAAACTGGAGACCAAATTATCGATGTTGAACAGATAAAATTGGTTGCTGTTCGCCGTTGTTTGTCTAACCTAATCGAAATTTAGGTCAGTGTGATCTTGTAGGGCTTACTTTCTATCAGACTTGCTGGTCCTTGGTTTTGCTCTTGTGAAGTTGGAAGATGTCGTTATGATAATTTGGGTTTCACTCTTTAATTTTAAAGAGTGGTCCATTTCATTTAACTCCAGGATGAGCGAGTCCCTTCTGATTGCGACTTTGCTTGACACGGTGGAACTGTAATGTGCAGTGGAAGTACCTAGGAAGTGGTGTCTGGGTAATGTTTAAAGGTGGATTTGGCAGATAACTTGTTTCAATGGGCTTGTCTTGTTCCTCAAATTTCTCAAGTAAAAGATGAGTATAAAGAAGGTAGTAGGGAACAGTCCTCTACAAATCCCTATAATATATTTTCTCAATGGAGGTATCTATGAGTTTTGCTATGAGAAATTGACCTAGCACAGGAAACAATATTAAAGCTGTAATGGTCTTTGATTCTCAAATTGAAGTGAAAGGGATGAAAATATGTGGAACCAATTTGCTTTTCTTCAAATTATTATAAAGAAGCTGATTTGTAAGTTGTAGTATAAATGTGTTCATTCTAATATTTAATGTTATTCAAGTTAAAGGCAATGTGACAAAGCTTGGTGAGTTTTTTTAGGATATTTTTGTTTTGGGTTTTTGATAAGGCTATTTTATTTTAATTTTTAATCTTTGATTGTTGTTAATTATTCATTTGTTTATTTATTCAATCTTAACTCTTTCCTGTTGTATAATATAAATTCTAAAGTTCTGCACTGGTCTCTAAGAATCCATGATTTTTTTTTCTGAAACTTTACAAAATGAATTTCTATTTTAAAATGAGCAAGTAGATTAATTTTTTTTTATTGTAATTTTATTAAAGTCATTTCTTAAATAACATAATTCCAATTCCTGTTTATTTTTTCTTCTCAAATTGGTTTTTATTTTTGCTTCTTTTTAGAAAAAGAATAATAATTTATTTTGTTTTATTTTTTTTTAATCATTTTTAACATAGAAATGCTATTTTAGTGTAATTTAGTTCCATTTTTGTTTTGATATCCTTCTAATGTACAATCAAAAAATGATTAATCTATTTTCTTAATTTTTGCTATAGAAAGAAATAGCTTTTATTATAATACATGTAAAGAATTTTTCTTTCATTGTAATTTAGATATTTTAATTATACATATATATATATATATATATATATATATATAAAATTAAGATCTTCAAAGAAAATTGCATTCATTTGGTCTTTGTAAAATAATAGTATTTTGATAAAATTATCATTATTACTTATTATTTATTATTTTATTCTACTTTCGAAAAGTTAAAGAAATAGTCTTTTATTATTTTCAACTCTATTGTTTTGACTAAATGTTTAGAATTATTATACATACTTTTTCAAAATATTTTAGGCTCAAGCCATAAGTATATCCTACGTTGCTTCATACGCACACACACTTCATATTACTATGTGCACACCAAAAGAATGTGGAGGTTTGTGATTTACTGGGTGTTTTTATGTAGATCCATCTGCTTGATATAATTGCGAAAAGAGAGGGAAAGGAATAGGATAGGAAGAAGGAAATAAGAGAGGTGGCAACTTCCCTTTAATGATCTCACAAACAAGTCAATAAGTAGGATCAAGTAAACAACGTGTTATGGATATCCAACAAGAAGATTTTAAGAATATTTTAGGAATATTTTATTAGATTCTATAAGGTTCCAAAAGATTTAAAAAAAAATCTTAGACTATTCTAGTAGATTCTAAAAACTTCTAGTAGGATTAAGAAAGTTATTTGAGAAGCTTTCTAGAGCTACTTTATCTTCAAGCAACATAGAAACTTTTCAAAAAGCTTCTTAATACCTAGTATATATTGGAGTCAAGATTCAAGGGAGACTTAGTCTCAACAACACATCTCTATCTTTTGGAATTTTAGCTTACTTTTCTTGGTGTTGATCTTGTACACATTTGGTTTAATCAAGTTTTTATTAGCTTTCTTATTAAAACTCTTCTTTTTAACTTTTTGTTTGGTCTCTTGTATAATACATCCATAATACCTTTCAGAGCAAACCTCCAATGTCTCTTACAATAATTTTTAATGTCTTGTCAATTCTTGTAGCAGTTTCAAAGAATAATTACAAGCACATATCCATGGCTACTGAGGTTTGGCATAAAAACCGTGAATAGATACCTACAAACTAACAATTGCTACAAACATTGTTGACAAACATTAAGCATTTCATCAATGACTTTGAAACTAGCTAGTTTTTTATTCATTGTCTGTTTGTGAATCTCATTCTATCTTTTTATTTGCCACAATGAGTATGGATAAGTTGTTCATCAATAGAATCCAAACATGCCATCTGTCACTATATACATAATTTGTTTCAAATTACAAGTGATTTCTCATTCATTGCTAATTGTCTTATAAGTAATAGTTGCTAATCTTTTGACATATTAGAGGTGGAATCTAAGTGCTTGAGTCCAACGACACTTTGATAAAAAGCCCACACTTTTCTAGTATAGAAAACTCAATCTTATTAAAAAGAATAAACATAAAATGGATTGTGTCATTGTTCAATTTATACATGTGTATCTATATTATATACATATGTATCTATATTTTTTGGATGTGCATATAGCAATATGAAATGTCAGTGTATATATCAAATTAAGATGTGTATGTAGCTTGAGCTTATATTTTATTCGAAAGAATTTATGCATAGACCTTGGCCAATCTTTGACTTGTAATAACGACTACTAATCATATCTTTTTCATTTCTTTCTTCAAAAGACTCTTTTATCTTTGTTCATTTATCTTTAACATATGTAAAAGAAATTAATCTACACAACCACTTAATTTTGAATTTGACAAAGTATAAATTGGATGAAAATACCTTGAATACTAATAAAATTAAAATCTAAATTAAAAGATCATATTTTTATTTTTTAAAAAGATGTTCAATAATTTTTTACATGAATTCTATAAAACTTGTAAAGCACAATACAAACATTAATCTTTTTTTAAAATCCAAGAGTTGGTTAATAGTTGTCTTCACAATATCAACAATTTATATAAAAAAAAATTACAAATAAAATTTATTTTGTGGATTTTGCCATCTAATCACATTTTATGAGTAAAAATATTTTACTTTATTTTCTTAATATAAATAATATTTAATTTATTTATTTTATTATATATTTTTTATATTTATTTAATTATATATATATATTTCTTTTTTCTTTTTTTATTGATATATTTTTAATTTGTGGTTGTCCTTAAATATATTAGTCATGACAAAATATTATATCTATTTATGAAATAGTTTTATAAACAAATGAAAGAACCAACAACTAATAAATATTTTCTAATATGTTTAATTTATGGAAAAAATGATCAATGAAGAAATTCATTAAAGATGTTTAAAAAAGAAAAAATAGCTATTTATCTATTTTTTTCTAAAAACCATCATGTGTATAGTTAAGAAAAAAACCACCACCACCAAACTTATTGTTATTGAAGACATTATATTAGTGATCTTATTTGAGACATGGTTCACTCCTTCAATGCAAACCATGGTCTCTATTGTTTTCTCTCTATTCAATTTTTAAAATTAAATATAGAGATATCAAATGTAAGACTTATTTAAATAAGTGTGATATCTCTATGTGCAATGGTTTCGGCGGTCATAGAGATACCAAATTCAGCGATGCATTTGATCAATGAGAATCAATTCCAAAGGCTATAAATTATGAAACATACTTATTTAACATTAAGGTAAATCTAAATAGAGCTCATGGAAAAATCTAATTTTATTTTATTGTTATTTTTGTAATTGAAACTCCACATGAAAAACAAATAGATATGTAGCGATGGCCAAAGCAACCAAAGGATAGAAGAAATATTTAAAATAACTAAATAAGTTAATGTATTGAGAGGATTAATACTTTTATTGCTATCCAACATTATATTTGGATTTTCTACACAAAATATACCACCTTGACATTAAGAAAATTATTTTTATTACATGTTCTATTTTTTAAACATTTAAACACTTATATAAACAAATAATTCTATTTATTATTCATTATTTGTCCACCACTTTCAAAGTTCAAAATAATGGGCATGTATTTTATTGGTTGATGAGCAAAACATATTTCTAGACTTAATCTACTCCCTCGTGGATGCTAAAAGATATTTTTGCAAATTAATTCAATAAATTTGTTTCACAAAAACTTGCATTATTAAGCAAATATTTTATTACTATTTAAATTACATTGGATAAATTACAATAGAAATACATATGTATATATATATATATATATATATATATATTCATCAAAATTTACAATTTTCCTGAAAGAGTTCTTTATTCAATAAGTATAACTATTGAACATCTTTGTTATTTATAGTCACTGTTGTAAAATAACATTTAATAAATTGGACACCTTCAAAGCCTCTTTTTGTTTTGTACAAGAACTCTATACCAATTCATCACATTCCCAACATAAGTCATAAATTTGCTAAAGAAATTAATAAGGTTTATATCACTAATACCTTTCATTGTACTTTCAAATTTCTTATCAAGAAACATCTACTTTGTATTATTTAATTGCATTTGGGGAAGTGAGACACTACCATGACTAGTTCGCACTAGTAGATTTACTTCTGTTGCAAAATCCTGATGAACGATATGAACACACAGATGAATTGTAGGTGAAGCAAGACATTTCAAGCTGTGTCAATAACGTATCTGAGATAAGCGTACAAAGACTTTCCAATCATAAGCAAGGTAATGACACTTGAAGCACTGGTCATGCGATAATCCTTAACAGGTCTACTCTTCTCGTAAAGAAGAAGAGTGCCTTAGCTTACGAACAATCCCTGGTAAAATTCACATGTCTCGTGTATCATCACCAGCAAAAGAAAACACGGGAAATATAAAAGTTGAAGGAATACATTTACAAACATTATCGTAATAATACAAGTCCACTTCAGGTACCGTTTACATCAGGAACTCAAGAGTCTATGCAATACCTAGGCCTGGTGGGACGATGGTAATGTCACCTAATTAGAGGCTCAATTTTACAAGGATCATTAGGCGATGCCTGCAGGAGCCTCGATAGCTGTACTTGAAGATGATCCTGTTGTACCATTTAACACAGTCACGCCTCCTTCACTATCCACATCAATAATGGCTGAATCACCTTCTTTAATTTCTCCTGCAAGCATACGCTCTGCCATACTATCTTCTAGTAACCTCATGATTGCTCGTCTCAGAGGTCTAGCTCCATAGCTAGGACTGTAACCCTCATCGACCACACGGTCCCTGAACCGCTCCGTAACCTGCATACACAACACAACAGGCCAGTGTAATCTAAATCAACAAAGCCTCAATGCAAGATATCAATTAAACATAATTAAATAATTAATTTAATTAAAGTACCATAAGCATTAATGATTTCCAAAGCCAAACATACCTGAAGGTCAATTTCCTTCTTCTTCAATCGCTCGAACACCTCCTTCAACATGATGTCGGCAATTTCCTTCACTTCAAGTTTAGTCAACTGCCTGAAAACAATAATCTCATCCAACCTATTCAAGAACTCTGGCCTGAAGTATTGCTTCAATTCCTCGTTAACAAGGCTTTTGATTCGGTTGTAACTTGAATCCTTTTCACCGTAGTCCAACTGGAAACCAATGCCACCGCCACCCTTCTCAATGACGCTGCTTCCAACGTTCGAGGTCATAATCAAAAGCGTATTCTTAAAATCTACAGTTCTTCCTTTGCTGTCAGTGAGACGACCGTCTTCCAAAATCTGAAGCATCATGTTGAACACATCAGGATGTGCCTTTTCAATCTCATCGAAAAGAACAACTGTGTACGGCCTCCTGCGAACAGCTTCTGTTAACTGACCCCCTTCGCTGTACCCGACATAACCGGGTGGAGAACCAATAAGTTTAGATACAGTGTGTCTCTCCATAAACTCAGACATATCGAGTCTAACCATAGCTTCTTCCGAGCCAAAGTAGTACGAGGCAAGAGCCTTCGCTAGCTCAGATTTTCCAACACCAGTGGGTCCAGAGAAGATAAAACTTGCGATAGGACGGTTTGGATTCTTAAGTCCAACACGAGCTCTGCGAATAGCACGGCTGATGGCTTTTACAGCTTCGTCCTGCCCGACGACTCGTTGATGAAGGGTATCCTCCATCTTCAACAAACGGTCAGACTCATCACTAGAGACTTTCTCTACAGGGATACCGGTCCAGGCTGAAACAATATGCTGAATATCTGACTCTTCAACAGTAGGACCGGTATCACCAGCCTCACTCTCTGCCTTCATCTGCTCTTTGCCCTTCTGAGTAATAGCAGAAATTTGAGCCTTAAGCTCCATTTCTCGATCCCTCAACTCTCCAGCCTGTACAAGAAAAAATGTTTAAGTAACCACGATACAGAGAAAAATGAGTAAACGACCCAAAGGATGGCTTACCTATATTTTAAACAAGCGAATAACGACATCAACATAATTTTGCAGGTTGTATATATAACAAACTCTCAACGTACAGGTCTGGTGAATAAAGTATGTCTTGCTTATATCTGATAAGCAAAAGTAAACAAGACAAGTACCTTCTCGAAATCCTGCCCACGAACAGCTTCATTCTTTTCCTTGGTGACACCGCGCAGCTCCTTGTCAAGCTCTCTAGCTTCTTCAGGTAGCTGCAAATAAATAGACAACATATAGTAAGCATCTTTACGACAGCAAAGATAAAATAAGAGACAGTTCAAAGCGAAAAAGAACATACGCACGTGAAACTCCAAAAATTCTGAAATCAATAAATTGCATGCCATTGTGATCTAAAAAACCTAATCGTTGTCATTGTGTTCTGTCATTCTCTCCAGTCACTCCTTAAAACTCTAGACTACAAATAAATACACTAACACCCCAGTAATGAACTCTGTTAGACATCATTGAGATTACCTGAGCGTGCCTTAGACGTACGCGTGATCCAGCTTCATCAATCAGGTCGATGGCCTTGTCAGGCAAAAACCGATCACTGCACATGTAAACAAATGATGCTTAATCACAGGGAAAGATCCCATTGAAGGTACCTGCACCTATAATTAGCTAAAAAGCCAAGATCAAGTACTGGTTCTTTAGAAGTTTAATTGTATTAGTGCGAATAACATACATTCCTCTGTAACACCTACTTCCTCCTGATAAAACATAAGCCAAACATTTTTGAAGTCTCAAATTCTGGATCGGACCTGATGTATTGATAAGAAAGTTGTGCTGCTGCTACCAAAGCCTCATCAGTGTAACGCAGCTTGTGATGAATTTCATATCTCTCTCTCAATCCCTTAAGAATTTGAATGGTCTCATCAACAGTGGGTTCTGGAACCAACACAGGCTGGAATCGACGTTCCAATGCAGCATCCTTCTCAATATGCTTCCTATATTCGTCCAATGTGGTAGCTCCGATACACTGTAGCAATCACAATTGTGTGAGTTTTTGAAGTACACATTGACAAACCCTACTATGACAGTCACGCTATTTTGAACAAGTACATGAAAGAGTGTGTATATATATATATATATATATATATATATTCAAGTGTGTTTGTGTGTGGAAGTGCTCAATGAGATTATATTCAAACAACTCAATTTCTAATCATGAACTATACCAATACGACGACCCAGCATTAGCAAAAGGGTTTAATGTTTAGCTGAAGGATTCAGAATCATGCCTGGAGTTCACCACGAGCGAGGGCAGGCTTCAAGATGTTAGCTGCATCAATAGCACCCTCAGCAGCACCAGCACCAATAAGTGTATGTACTTCATCAATCACAAGGATAATGTCGTCAGCTTGTTTGATCTCTTCCATCAACTTCTTAAGCCTCTCTTCAAATTCTCCCCTGTACTTTGTACCAGCTACCAACAATCCCATATCCAGGGTGATAACTTTCTTGCCCTCAATGGTTTCAGGCACATCGCCAGTTGCAATACGTTGAGCCAATCCTTCAGCAATTGCAGTTTTTCCAACTCCAGGCTCTCCAATAAGGCAAGGGTTATTCTTTGTCCTTCGGCCCAAAATTTGAGTCACACGCTCAATTTGCGGCTGTCTTCCAACAACAGGGTCCAACTTCCCCTATAACAGCAAAAAGATTATAATTGACTCCAATTTTCCTATTATTCATTACTATGCGGAATTTGGAGGAACGCGGAAATCAAGATTTGCATCATGTATGCAGACAATCGACACAAATAGAATGTCTAGAAAACCAACCTCTTCAGCAAGCTTCGTTAAATTTGTACCGTATTCCTCCAAAGTAGGCATCTTATTGCCACTGCTACCACCACCCACTCCAGCACCTACAGACTCAGTACTCTCGCCAACCATCCGAATTACTTGAGTCCGTATATTGCTAGGGTCTGCTCCGAGGTTTTCAAGGACACGAGCGGCAACACCTTCACCCTCCCGCAACAAACCCAGGAGGAGATGCTCGGTTCCTATATAATTGTGACCTGCGATATTATGATAAAACATACATCAGAACTCCACCAACACAGAATAACTCTCAAAACAGAACTGAGCAACCAACCCACAAACTACCACCCTCCAATGCACATGCTCGGAAAAGGAATGCTGTCAATGAGTATGAATCTTACCGAGCTGCCTAGCTTCCTCAAGTGACAGCTCAAGGACTCGCTTAGCTCTGGGTGTGAACGGAATCTCAACAGCCACAAAACCACTACCACGGCCAATGATCTTCTCTACCTCCACACGAGCCTCCTTAAGGTTTACACCCATGGACTTCAACACCTTAGCAGCAATTCCAGTCCCCTCTCCGATAAGGCCTAGGAGAATCTGCTCCGTACCAACAAAGTTGTGCCCTAAACGCCTGGCTTCTTCCTGAGCCAACATGATAACCTTGATGGCCTTCTCGGTAAATCGTTCGAACATTGCCGTAATGACACCCTTGGAGGTCCCTTCTTGATTATCCACCGCAAGCGCAGCTGCCACAGTGGATTTGAAATCCCGTCCTTGTTTCACAGTCAAAGCATCAATTACTGAAGCCTTACGCATTCCAGAAAACGACTGAATCCTTGTGCTGGGCACTGAAGAATTCTTAATCTGCGCTTTTTTCCTGCCTAGAGGACCCACCCTTGCTGGCGTTTGAGATTTGTTACTACTATGAATTTGGCCATGGGATGCTCCCACTGCCGGAACCATCAAGGACTGTGTCACAGCCGCCATCTTGATGTTCTCAGGGATTTTCTGATGTTCGTCGCCCTTAAGTAAAATTTCCTGTTTCCGATTAAAAGAATTTCGATTGCAGCACAATTACACTGTAAAACTACGCTGACCTGTACACCTGCGTTCAATAAGTTGGGACAACAATGTCATTAAACACTACTCAAGGCAATTCTAAAATCGCATTTGTAGAAAAACACGACATCGTATCGATTCCGATGAAAGAAACATTCGTAAGAGGATATAAAGGTGTAACGTCATACATCCCCAAACCTAATACGCTAAGATACACATTTGTGAGGGCTCAGCACAGCTATGATGTTATTAATCAGAAGGGAACTGGTGTGTAGCCTTGAATCAGAACTGAAACAACAGATCCATGGCAGAAAATTCAAATAGGATGGTCGCATCTTTAATTTCACACAAAATATTCATCCCGCCTGTAATACTTTCAATGTTGACAATCCTCTATCCAAACAAAATTATGAATCTCTTTTTCGAAGAAAAGTTACCACCGAATAACATTATCATCAACACCTGTATAAAAGAATTACAACTGCATATTCCCAAGAGTTAATTATTTGAACGTCCTTCACTGCAACTAAAATAAGGAACAAAAAAACGCATCCACTGACGACCAGGTGGATCGGCATAAAGATCAAATAAACCAGCTAACTAACCAACAACTCCGGCAAATCCATACATGCAGACGGCTTACATGTGAAAAGGAAGATAAGAAAAATATTGAAAGGCAACTTTATCTTGGTATCTGCAACAAAATCAACTTTTAAATCCACGGCACTCGTCAGAAAAGTGCCATTGCTGCTAAGAATCAAACAGGAAAATAAAAGAAATAATAATCCGTTCACGCATACACTACACATTTCATCAAATGAATCCGTCGCATATTCTGAATCAAGAGCCCAAACCACAATTCGCTTCACAATGGTGAAATCGTGGATACAGAATCCTTGTTCTGGCACCCATCCAGAGTCATTCAAATTCGTAGCCACAATTCAACTGTACATACCAGTGATTACTCCCTTCATCCCTCCCCTCCCCCACAAACATACCAGGGAAGAAAATACCAAAACACCCAACAAACGAAGGCATGGAGATCGAGCGATGTGCAAGGCGGAACTTTGCAATGCTATCAAAAAAACAAAAAAAAAAAGAAGCAAAGACTCAGTAAAAGCGGTCCGAAGAAGAATAGGAAAAGCCACGAAATCTCCCTCTTGAAAAAGATTAAAAGTTCCTGATGGTCCTTGCACAGAGGATGAGCGACTTTCTTGCATCCGTCGTTACTCGCAGGACTTTGTATGCAAGAGACTCGACCGTCTTGTATCTGCTAACCAAATAACAATCAAATGATGTGCAATTTACGACTGCTCTGCTACCACTGGCAAAGTCGCTAAAAAAATCGTGAAGCCTTCACGAGAATCTTCCAATTCCCCGGTTGGAAGATACCTTAAGGCTTCCAAGATCCGATATACAACACACCGCTCCATCCGAAACTTCTCAGCTCCCAGTTCAGACCAAAAACACCCGGTCACCCTCACCCCTTCCCCTTCTCCAAGTCCGCCCTTCCAACTTCCGAAAGACAAGATGCTGCAAGATACTGTAACTAATGGAACTATCATAAAACTGCAATGTGGATCGAATCGAGAGTCATGATTTAGTGTGATCTCATGCAGAATATCCTGCCAGAGTAAGTTCGACGAAGCTGCAGCGCTCACGTTTCCAATTTCACAAAATCTTCATGGCGAAGTCACGATCCAAAGACCTCAGTCAAACCAAACCAAAAAAAAAAAAAAAAAACAAAACAAAACAAAATAAAACAAAAACAAAAACAAAAACCTCAAACGCATCACAGACCTGATTCCAGAAAGAAGAACATCGACTCACCGGACCGCTCTCAACTAAACCACCAATCGAACACACCACCACGACATGCTTCAATTCCTCTACATTCTCCCCTTGGCTCGGAACAAATTGAGCAGAAACAGAGCAAATTGATTAAATCGGGCATCAAATTGCAGCTACACAATGCCAGAAGCGAGAATTTCAGGGGCAATTGGGAGGCATACCATGTAATCCCGGTCGATCGGAAGCTCCCGCAGTTGCGACGGGGGTGGATACTTCCAAACGAGAGGAGAGTTTGTGCAAGACCATGCATGCACGGGGGAGAGGGTGGGAAATAGAAGGAGAAGCAGAATCGGAAGAAGCATGAGGAGAAGAAGCGGAGTGACGAAGGCTAAAGAGGAAGATAAGAGACGGGAAAGCCCTTGGGCCACAGGCGTCCTTCGGATCCTACGTGGACCCCTCCTGCGGGCACACCATTGGCTGGCACCCCTAGGGCTTCTCTTTGCGGCCTCCGAAAGCAAGTCCCATGCCCCCGTGGCCCTTCGATCGCCGGTGCCACATCAGCGGCCCGTGTTCGTGCGACGTTGCGTTCTTCCTGGCGACGCAATCCCCCTGACGGTGGTAATTAAATAACATATATATTATTATTAGTAGTAGTAGCACTATTATTATTATTTTGAAATCACCTTAAGGAGTAAAAATTTTAAGGATTAGTGATTTGTTTCTATTTTACTCTTGATATTACTCTTCTACGTTTAGAAACATGTGTGTATCTGTAATTAAAATTACTCACTTAACAGAAATCTATTTGTATTTATATTTTTCTGTGACTCGAAGCCGATTCTTGATGTGAAGCAACGTGTCTACTATCATTACACTCCACACTTATTTTCTTAGTTCCGTTTTTTTCTTGATAGAAACTTGTTCGAAGTGGATGGTACCTCATGGAGCATAGTGCGAGCAAGTCTTTTTCTGTTGCGAGCTAAATAACCGCGTTTCAAACAGCCTGTGCAATTATTTTTGAGACGATCATTCGGCATCAAAACGACATGGTGTGATATAGCCACTCTTCTTGAGATAAAAGCAAGCGACGTAAGACATGAACATCGGATGGATTAGTGAATAGGATTTGAGCATATGCAAAATGACGGTTGAAAATAGTTCAGACACAGAACTCGGGCAGTGAAGTTCTTCATTGATCCTGGAGGATTCCATTCTCATCGCATTGGACATAATTTAGGGTAAATTTGGGGTAATCGAGGTCTTGAAGGAGATCCTGAACTAGTTCTTTCTCCACCGCTTAAACTAAACAGTACCCGAACTCCATTGTCGATCTCCGAAGGGAACCGCTCGTTTCTGCACCTTCGTGGAGATATTTTCGAGGAGAAAAAGTCATTACCACTTTTGCACATCCACCCTCCTAATTTGCCCCTCTTGCATGCAACTTACAGCGTCGACGACGTCGACGAAAGTGTCAAACAAGGAAGGAACGAAAAAGAGCATTCTGATTCTCAGCAGATATCTAATCACATCCTGATCGAAGTATCTGCGGGGGGCGGGGGGATTCCGTGAACATCGAACCTCTGCGACACGCTTGCTGCCAGTGACAAAAACGAAATCATGGCTCCGAACCAATCAAAGCAGAACAGACAGATCCTGATACCGCTTCTTCAAAGCTTTTCCGTAGCCGATGCGAGACGACCTGTGCACCCCATCGACCGAGTGTTCAACGCAAGGGCACAAAAAACTGTATCAATGAATTCTTCAATCTGATCATAACTGGGAGTATCTCGAAGTCGAATATTGAGGTCCGGTGTCATACCACTGAGCTCACCCTGAACGGGTATGTAGGCAGGTATATTAATCCTTTCGAAGCGGGTATAGACCGGATAGGTCGACGCTCAGCTGGCGCATCGGTCCCTGACATTGGACGAGGTTCCTTTCTCCGAGGATTTGCGCGACCCCTTTCGTCTTTACTTGGTCAGCTTCTGTTTGTTTGTTTGATGAGTTGTGCCCCGACCGTGGTTTGTGAGCGTGCAACAGAGAGAGACAAGGAAAGATAGGTGTTATGAACTTCTCCGTGGTAGGTGAGTTTGAATTCTACTCATTCGTGTACGTATGGATTTCATACAACGGCCCATGATTTTATTTTAATATTTGTCTTCATTTTTTTTTAGCATTCTTTGTATTTTTTATTTTTTTCTGGAGGTTTACGAGTGGTTTCGCGGAGTGCTCGGTTATGCTAGTTGGCATTGTGATGTTTTGCTTCGTGCTGTACCCGATCACCGTGAGTGTGGTTGATTTGACTTTTGCTTCTGTGCGGGCGATGCTGGAGTAGGTCCTGGTGGTGGTGGTGGTGTGCTTTTTTGAGTCTTAGCTGGAAAGTTGAATGTGTGTCAGGGGAAGAGACTCAGATCTATGGTTTTGTCAAACCGAAATGAATTGTAGATTACACATTTGACTTGGATTATGTAGGGAACATTTTTGCTGTATCCTATTTTGTACGTGCAGGTGGACTTCTCCTTTTGATCATACTCGTTGATTTCTAGCAATGATAGTCCATGTTTATGACTATTGTTAATTTTCAAGTGAAAATTTGGTATTATCGATCTCATGCATTTTTGCGCTGTTAATTGATGATTTGTAGCTATCTAGGGTTTGGGATATTCATGTTGATGTAGAATGTACTTTTTCATTCACTTGAGTCTTAAGCTGATAGTTCATATACAGGGGGTGATTGAAGGTATTGTTCTGTTCAAGAAAATTAGGGATTGTGAAATCCTTAGGTCCAGTGATCTTGTGATTGCTTCTTGGAGCCTGTGGGTCTTCCTTACATTTAGAAATATATAATTTCGCTGTGCGATTTTCAAGGTTATCAAACCCCCATCTTGCACATTCTTGTATTGATTGATACGCTTAAGCGTTCTAAGCATGGTCGACAACCTGAATAGAATCAATGACTTATGGATTCTTAAGGATTTAAGTGGCACCATCATTATTCCAGCTTCAGTAATCATTGTAATGTGATTGACAATTTTTTCCTCGTCACGGATTTTTTCGTTGTTGTGTTCGGTACAGGTTCGTCAAATATAAATATTCAATTCCTGTCTGGGAGTTTTGGAGGATTGACTGGAGTTCATTGCATATAAGTTCTTCTCTGTGTGAAACTTATATTAAACAATGGAGGACTCAACTATCGAGGACTCCCCCAAACAGAGGAACTGGCCCATTTATCTTTACATTCCTAACATTATTGGTAAGCAGATCCATGCATCCTGTGAAAACGTTCCAGGTGCAAGATTGATTATTGGGTTCCATCAATTCAAACACTGCTGTTTTTGCTAGTTGAGTTTATTTGGTGTCCATCAATAATGGACATGGCATTTTTTAACAGGATATGCCAGGATTATCGCCAATGTCGCAGCTTTTGGAGTTGCCTTTACAAACAAAAAACTGTTTGCTATTCTCTACTTTGCAAGGTATAGTCAAACGACAACATGTGTCTTTCAGTTTCTGGCTTATGAGTCTAGTTTTAAAGACCTCTACCTCGATCTTACGAATTTTCTTCTATGAAAGATATAATAGAACTGTCGAAATAAGAATCACAAGTACACTTCAAATATTCATCTTAGTAAGGGAGGGGGTAGTTGGAGCTTGTCGAAGGTCTAAAGTCCCTGCAGGTGTTCCGGATACTAGACCTGGACATTTCTGACCTGCAGAATCACCTATAGTAGTCTTCCTAATAGTGTTTGGTACGTGTTTGGTTGATATATTTTTGCAGCTTTGTATGCGATGAACTTGATGGTCGCTTTGCTCGCATGTTTAACCAGAGTATGCACTCTCTAGCTCAACGTCTCAAACAGCAGATATTTTCTAATGCTACCAAGAATTCTTTTGGCTGCTGCAGATCTTTTTTTGCTGCCTACATAGTTTGAATGACTTTCCTTTTTGGGCACCGTCTAGACAAATTAGTTTGGCCCGTTTCTTTACTTCAAGGGCATCTCCGTCAGGCGCAAGGGACTAAGGATGTAATTTCATTGGTGCTCATGTTTCTGAGACTCGTATGTGTGCCTTTTAACAGAATCAACTTTTGGAGCAGTTTTAGACATGGTGACTGACAGGTAATAAACTTTCCTAGTGGTTTTGCTATCCTTTTTATGGAGTTTGCTTTGTTTTTTTCCTGTATTCCAATTTTCACGTCTGGGTCGTTTCCTGTTTCTGATTGGTATACACGAGTTTGTTCTTCAGCCGAGTTATTCAGTTGATAGGTTCCTGCAGAATGCTATAATCTTGGTGAGATATTCGAAAAAAGAATCTGCTGACCTTCTTGATCCTTATTTGATATTGGTTTAGGGTTAGTACTGCTGCACTCTTGGTACTTCTGACCCACTTCTACAAGTAAGTTTGCTTTGTTACTGTACCCTTAAGCAATACGTTCAGACTCATTTTATTTAATTTTAAGTGTTAACTATTGCTACCTCTCTTGCTTGAGAAATGTATCACGTATACTATTGATAACAATGTGGTTCTTTACTTGCTGAGGCTTGTTTGTTCTGGTTTTATGCCTGATCAGGTCCCATTACGGACTGTTCCTTGGACTTCTCGCTTTGGACATTTCCAGCCATTGGTTACAGATGTTTAGGTCTGCTCTCATGCGAGTCTAAATATTTTTAATTTCGCCACAAAGATCGTGATTTTAAACTAGGCATGCACGAGAAATTTACGTTTAAGAGTTGTGTATTATTATTGTTGTCTTTTTTGCAGCACTCACTTGTCGAGCAAGGCAAGTCATAAGGACATGGGTGACAGCAAGAGCACTCTTCTTCGTCTGTACTACCAGCATCGCTACTTCATGGGATACTGCGCCATTGGGGCTGAGGTGCGAATGTAGTGGACGAAATTATATGTCTTTTATCATCTAATTCTGACGAATGGCAATTAAACTAAACCATCTCGTCACTTCAATGTGTTGTAATAAATTTGAAACGAAACAAGACTTATCATAGTTTTGTGTTCGCGGATCAGATTGCTTATATACTTCTCTACATGCTCGCCGCTGACGGGAACATCGGAAGCCCTTACGAGGTGCTTTTCTCTCTTGGTTCTCTCCCGTTTGATTCTTTGCAAATGTTATCCCTTCTGGAATAGCGTTAGTCCCCAACAAAGGAAAAACAGATTTATTAATGCATCTAGGATTTCGGTCTTATCTCGCAGGTTGCAAGACATGCTGTTGCTGAGAGGACAGTCTACGGTATTGTACTAGTGATTGCGCTCCCTGGCTGTGCGATTAAACAACTTGTGAATCTTGTCCAGGTACATTCAATGTATTATTAGTGCTGTTTGTTGTGGTCATGTTAGTACTGTTGATTTTTCTGCGGGTGCGTAGTCAATTTACGAGGTCTTAGTCGAGAAATATTGTCACATGACAATGCCTCTATACTCTAAATCAGTCTTTGTAGTTCGTGCAGATGTTCGTAGACATTATGATTGATATTTAAGTTTCTAACAAGACGCATATAACTTTAAAATGTTTCCACTAAATGACAGATGAAAACGGCAGCTGATGTGTGCGTAAGATATGACACCCACCGGTATAGTTCCAAGAGCCAGTAGCCTGCATCCCTTAGAAATTCTACGAGTTTTAGTTGTTTTATAAGTAGCTTATAGTAAGGTTGGCACTCAAGTTTTTTATGAGCAACTGGTCATTCAGAATGTATCATATAGCTTGAAATGATTCCGTCCCATTTTGTAGAGTTCAAGTATTGTACAATTTTTTTATTACAATACATCACTCTTGTTCATTGTTCAATTTACTTTGTCGTGGTCTGAAAATAATATGCCAGAGTACACCTGCCTAGAATATGCTTTTCGCTATGATCAATAATAGGTGTAATAGGAAACCATTATTGAACTTGGCGGGCATCTGGAAATTTGGTTCATGCTCGAGAGGAGACGCGAAGTTAACTGATGACTACTGCTGAAGCTTGGCAACAGGCCAACATCACAGGATGAAGGCTCTAAATTTTTTTGAAATCTCAGGACAAATGTTGAACCTAGTTGTATCCACTTGCAAGGGCCAAGTCCTTCATGACAGAGCAACGCTGGAGAAAGCATGTTGCATAGCATATGTAACTAGCAAGTCAAATAATAAGGTGCTTTTGGAAAAAATTGCTTAGTTGGGCTGCAAGTTTATTCCCATATTCCTATTTATATAGTGTTGTTGGTCTGATCTGTTCAATCGATGTCTAAAATATGGACGGACATGAGCTCATTTCAACCTCTAAATGAAGAATAAGACATCAAATGATTAAACATGGCAGATAATACTGCAATGGTTTCCTTTCACTGTAGTAACTTCACAATATACTATTAATACATGGACACAGATGCGTATGGTCCCAAACAAACGAAACTACTAGAATTAGGTTCACAAATTTCTAGTTTTGGACATCCTTGTGGTGGAAGTTGCATGCTGAGCACTTAAAAAGGATGCAGATTAAATAGCAAGGAATGGACAAATCTGACCTTCACATGGAAGGAATATATATAAGCAACATGATTGTTGTCTTTTAGGCACAAAGGATGGTGAAAGATCTAACAAAAAAAACTTGAGTTTTCTAGGTTCTTTACCATTTGTATCTGTTATGATTAGTTTAATTGAGGTTAAAATGTAACGAGGAAGAGAACGTGAGATATTTTTGATGTGAGTGTGTGGGTTTAAAGAATAAGTCATATAATTTTCAATGAATAGTTTATGTTATTTCACCAATGGTGAAGTGGATGTCCAGGTCGGCAGGAAGCGCATGGGAAACGACGCCCGATCCAAGGCCGTCGTCGGGGCCCAGCAAGGGCCCTCCCTTATTGCGATGCTGCAGCATACTGCCGATGATTCTCTCCTCCGACCGATTGGGCTCATCGTCTCCCCTTCCTTCTCCATTTGGTGCTGATTCCAACGAGTTATTCAGCACTCTCACAGGTGCAAAGTCCACTGAGAACGAACCCCGCCAGGAGCTGCAATTCGCCACTGTCTGTTGGAGTCTTTGAGAACTGGGCGAGATTTGAGAGCTCCACGTTGCAATGGCGGCCATCGCGGCCGACAGTGGGAATGAGAAGAAGTGGGGAAGAGCGGTGAGCTTCAATCTGTCCTCCGGGTTGGGGTACATTGAGAAGGCACGCAAGGTCGCCACCAACACGGTGCAGGTCAGCCAAAACATGCTGTGGAGCACGAGCAAGGCGGCCTGGGTTGCGGGGACAACGCTCTTGGTGCTCGCCATGCCGCTGTTTATTAAAATGGACCAAGAGGCTCAGATCGTAGACCTGGAGGGCGGAGAAACCAGTTTGATTGGGGAGGTATCACCCGCTACCCCGAAATCTTCACCTATTAAGTGAAGAAGCTGCACAAATTTTGTGTTCGCGTTTCGATATTCTTTAACCATTCTATTCTTCACGACATGGTGGTTGTGATAACCATGTCTTTCCAGGGTTGTCCGTCCGGGAAGGATTGCCTCATTATCGAAGCTTTTTCGACACAGTTTAGTTTTGTTCTAGCTTCTCTTGAGGCAATCGTGGTAGTCTCTCCAAGTAGTGACCTATGCTAAGTTGTGTTATAGGGTCTCAAGTTTGTACGACTTACAATATTTTGATCTCCTCGTTCTGTCCATCTTTCACTATATGTATGTGAGAATTCAGGCAAACTATTCAAGTGAGATGATTTGTCACTGTAGTCATACCTGCTTTCGAAATTGAGTCAATCTATCTTTTTATTTCTTACCATAATTACCTTCTTTGGCCCACAACTCCATTTACTGTAATGGAGTTTGGGCAGTACCATGAAACTCTAGTTTGCTATCTCTTGTAGGCAGATCTCTCAATTGTATCAAATTGTGAACGGTACAGAAATGTGTGCTACTTTCACTGGAAAACATGAACTCTTTATATGAAAGACCTGGAATGGTAAATTCAATGGTTTGCAACTCTTCTCTTGTTTTCATCCTAAGTTGGAGTAACCCATTATGCAAGGCTCCAACGTTCTTGTTGAAAGATGTTACAAGCTGCAGTTTGAAGAATCACTGATTATTCCCATTGACCACAACCCTTTTAATCTTTTTCTTGTACATTTCGGCAAAGAGAGTGAGCTCAGTAGGAGGTGCAAACCAAGTTATCTAGGCTGAAAAAAAATAGTTGAACTTGTGTGTACCTATCCTGACAAGGTCTTTCTCAGAGGAAGCAGAGAGACCATGTCTCATGAGCAGTTTCACCAATTAGTCCACACAACCACTTGCATCCTTGCATTTTCTGTGCCCACTATTCAAGAAAGACCACTAATGCAGATTTTACACCTTCATTTTATTTTGATATTCAATGGATGGATTGCTCAAAAAATACATGAGACACAGGAATACTAAAGATAGATATAGTATGCTAAATTTCAAATTTTGAAATAAGTGATACTAAATTTGGATTGGCATTTTTTTTAAAAGCTTATTAGAAGTTGTACCTGTTTTATACTAGAAATTGAAAACAATCTGAAAACACTGAGTTGTATCTATATAATGTTTACATTAATATAGACAACACATAATAAATCTTACTTTTTCAATTTATTATAAAAAAATAAAATAAAATGCAGCACAAACAACTTATTATTGCAATAAGTATGGATTTTATCAAATTTTAATATCAGGCTTTGAAACTATTTATTTCCAGCATTCCACACAAATTCTCCAGCAACTTGGATCTAATTTTGACTAACAAAAAAAATAAAAAATAAAAAAGTAGTGCTCTTTTTATTTTCTTTTTTCTGTTTTATTTATTTTTCTTCTTTTAAATCTAACAATGATTAGTTTCAAATACAAATAATATAAGCATCACTAGCCTTAACACATTTCTAAAATGTTATATATGTATATGTGTATATATAAATATATGCTGTTAGTCATTTTAAATAGAATCAAATAAATAAAATAATATTATATTTTGAAATAAAAAATATCTAAATTTAATACAAAATAAAAAAACTAGTCTCAATGTAAATAATATTCTTGTTTTTTTAAATAAAGTATTAATAAAAAATTATACAATAGTTTTGTATTACATTATGAAGAATCTCCCTAGCAGTAATGTTTAAATATCTTGGACAAAAATAAAAATAAAAAAGATATATATATATATATATATATATATGTATATATATATGTATGTATATATATGTATGTATATATATATGTATGTATATATATATAGATGTATATATATATATATATATATATAAGATACAATCCACCACAATTTGCCATCCACCACATGTCATTATTTTATTTATTTTTATTTTTATTGAAATCCAATGTATATTCTATAAATTTTTATAAAAATAAATATATTAAAAATGTTAAAAATATTTTTTATTAAAATTTTAAAAAATAAAGGAATAAATTGAATGAGTAGTGGATTGTAGTAGCAATAGCAAACATTATGGTCACATGCGGTAGATGGTAGATTGTAGCAAAAATTATAGTGGCCTTGGCAATACCTTATATATATATATATATATAACCATTTTTTGTAATTTATGTAGTTAAAATTTTTAAATATTACATATATAATTATATGTACTTGTTTATTTAAGTACAATTTTAGCTTTTTAAAATGGTTTCTAATTAATAATTTAGATAAATAAAAGATTATTTATTCAACATTAGAATATTAATGATCTTCTTCAAAAGAAAAGTCACTACAATAATGAGGGAAAATAAATCTCATAAAGTTATTTAAGATTTGAAAAGCTTTAGCAAAACAACTATATGTATTATTTATTTTCAAGTGCGTAACTGTAAAACTTCCAAACTAACATAGATAAATAACTAAATAATGATAATTATTAAAATAAAATACATGAAGATTAAACCTTTACTTTTATAAATTATGATAAGACTAAGAAATAAGGGATTAAAACTTTGAGAAGGTCATAAGACAACATGGATAATACTTTAAGAGACAAAAAGAAAAATGCTACCTCAAACATTGTTTTAATGTACTATGATAAGGATGAAATGATTCTAAATTTTTCATATAGTATTGTAATAATTATTAATTTGTCTCTTTACTTACATAGATCACCATTATAATGCTTAAAAAATCTCCAAAATAGTGTGCCTTGTGAAAAGCATGGACACCTCGAGGCAAAGTCAATTAAAAGAAGGAAGAGTATTCCAACCTAGTTGGAGTTCATAGGATATTTTAAATAAGATGTGTATTAATTGAAGTATATATTAATCAGCCATGGGATTGTGAAGATTTGTAAGTAATAGGGTAATGACATTAGTAAGGATATTCATATTTAGGATCAAGTGATGTACCAACTGAATATAACATTCTAATTTGTGTTAAAAACATAGATGAATACTAGTTTATATATATATATATATATATATATATATATCAATGTTTTAAAATTGTGTGTTCAAAAAAATATAATATACAAATTATGACAAAGGTTATGTTATGAATTATTTTAAAATTTATTTTAAAAATGTACCATAGTTTTTTATGGATAACTCTATATATATATATATATATATGTTTGAATACACATTAGATATTATGAAAATTAAAATATCAACTTTGGTATTGAGCTTTGAGTATTTTCCAACCACTTCAATATTTTTGATTTAGCAGTGTGTTTTTTTAGATTAAATCTTGGTTTGAAATATTGATGCAAAATCTAATTGATACATATCATTATTAAAAAATTTAAAGTATATATATATATATATATATATATATATTGAAATGATAATGTGACCCAAAGTTGTACTAAATCAACCCACATGCCCCATTCCCAGCCATTCTCTTGTTCCCAACCGTCACCTCTATTCTCACCATTCCTAACTCCCCTCCCTTATCTCTAGCAATGGTTGGAAACAAGGAATGGTGGGGAGTAAGGATGGAGGCTCCAAGGGTGCAATGATGCTTAAGATGGAGTAGGTTGCTTAAGTAAAAAATTAAGTTGCTTTATCATTCCCCTATATATATGTATAGCATTTATTTGAAAGATTTATGCATTGCATTTTTAGATGTCAATCAAAATAGAACCAAAATCACACATATAAAAATTTTTTTATTTCATGAATTATAGGTTTATAAGTATTTGTTTTAGAAAATATCAAGCATTTGAATGACATCAATATATTCTGAAAAATTGAAGAAAAAATGAATAAAAAATTCTTTGTTCTTTTCAGCATCTTTTAAATTCTTTACAATCATCATAGTTTTAATGGAAAACACCTTAGAGTAACGATTGAACCTCCTTTTTGCTTCAAAAAATATTTGATTTTTGTGATATTTTTACATCTATTATTTGAAAACTGGATCTATAAATAAATAAAAATAAAAATGTTCATAGTTTATGTTGCTTCAGCTATTGGTTGTGCCAAAAGTATTTAAAGGCTTTAATTCACAAATTGGTAAAACTATGTTCTAAAAAGAATATTGAATATATATATATATATATATATATATATTTGTGTGTGTTGTTTTCAAGGTCTAAACTTCAAATTGAGCATTTCAATTAGTAAGGTCCAAATTAAAACCATTTTGACCTTTCTGACATTGATAGCAGCATCCATGCATTTCTTAAAGTTCTCCCAAAACGTTTGAAACTATGAGCACCCAAATAAGTATTTAATAAAAAAGGCAAGGGACTAATCTGTTAGAACTTAAAGTTAAGAATAATTGTAGAATTAAGTCATTGAATCTCTCTTTCAATTATTTATAGCATAAACTCCATATTATTTGAAGCATGCTTTTTATTTATTTATTTATTGTTAGAGCAGGTAAATACTCTGTTAACCTGTACTCCTCCAATCCAAAAGACAAAACCCACATCAAAGCACACAAGCGTTGAGAGTTTAGATACAACTATTAATCCCACCTTTCTTGTCTTCAATTTACTTGAATAAATTTTCTCTTTCTCTCATCCCACTTTCAAGTATCTTGCAGAAACTTATGCATTGGTCTTTTGAAGATAAGTCTTTCAAAAGTCTGCATCATATGGATGGGAACAATGAGATTGCTTTGAGATTGAAACCATTCTTTCACACGTGGAGATTTCATTTGCATCAATAAATGGGAAGCGTGCAAAGTACTAATGTAGCTCACCGAAGTGCTTTATGAGTTCATTATGAAAAAATCACAAGCTACGATGCACCCAAATCTCAAAGCACCAAAATGATATGAAAAATACTTTACCCGCAATAGAATTAGAAAGTTAAAAGAATTGTATGATAATAAATTCAGAAACACTCCCACACTTTTTGTCTGGAAATAGCAACATCCCACTTGTTTGACTTTTCAGTAACGAAACTATTTGCCATATTCAGCAACCCAGTCACACTCTCACACTCATCGCATACATCCTACGTATTCTAAATCCTACACGCAAAATACGTGTAAAAAAACTATTCAGTTGTTCAATCTTCACAAACAGACACTTGTAGCGGATTGGAGTTGGAAAAAAAACAGAAAGGAAACAAAAAAAAGAACATAAACGAAATTTGCACATACCGTAGAATAACTGACAACCATCAATTTTTGCGCTGCAGAAACATGCTTATGGGATATAAGTATAATACAAGACTTATCATACGAATCCCAAATGGGTGTAATATGTATACACTATTATACGAAGGATATTCCGAGGACAATCGAGGTTCGAGATGTGCACATGACGAGAGCGCGGTCGATCTGCGCGCCGCCAGATCGACGGTGGGAATGGAACGCGGTGGGGATGGAACACTTCATGCACGTTCCCCAATCCCGATCAGAGAGGGGACCGAAGTTAATCGATTTTGGGTTCGAATCCTGTCGGCCACATGATGTGCCTCGTGCTAGCGGAAGCGTGATGGCGCGACGCGGTTGCAGCAGCAGCAGCGGCTGGCTGCTGCTGCTGGCTCGTGCTGCTGCGACGCGAGGGGACTCGTTTTCTCGGCGGACACACGCTGATTTTGCGCGGAAAGGGAAGCACTATAAGCCTCGCCGCTGCCATCCTTCAGTTGCAGGCTTGTGTCTTCTTGTGTTCCTCTGTGGCTCACTACAAGCTTTTTCCCTTCTTCGTGGGTCTGTTGAGCACAAGATTTCTGGAGTAACTGCCGGCGTGTGAGCGGTCGTTTATTTTCTTTTGTTGGGTCTTTTTGCATTTGATTGGGAGGGTGCCCACGACGGGGCAACTCTTGGCCAGGTGAGTGGATGGATCTGGGAATGGAATGTGAGCTATGTTGAGATCTAGGTGTTGTGTGGGTGTGCGTGTGGAGTTGGGTGGCGCTTGATGATGAGCGTTTGTTGGTTCTTGAGCATAATTTCTGAGCGGAAGGGTTTTTTGCATCTGACGACGTGAGTCTTCGAGTGCATTTAGCTTTCTGTTTCGAAGAATTGACTGTTGAGTGTCTGTAGTAAGCTAGCTTAAGATCGTTTTGTGTTTCCCCCTCTTTTGGTTTTATTTTTTCGTTCGATTGTGTTTTTCAGAGGTTGTGAAATCACGGAAATTATCTCTGATTGGAGTATTTGTGTCCTTGATCGTTTCTCGACGTGTTTTAGGTGGGGAGATTCCTCCACATTTATTACTCTAAGACAGAAAGCTGATCATTCCATAGTCTTGGAAATTGAATACTAGTCAAGGTTTTTGTGAATGCCGATGTGTTCGTAGCAATTTTGAAGTTGGGCTACATTAAGCCTCGTATTGAAATCTGAAGCACCTTGCAGGTCTGAGATTATTCTCATTGTTAATCAAGCCCTTCCCAGGGCGAGACTTGTTGGTCGTCTAAGTCATATTTTATTCTGAGATGTAGGTACTACTAAGTTTCCTCCCAATGGACCATGCGAGTTTTGTAGTTAGGCCTTACAGAGCTTTCAGAGCTGATATTAATTCCTCCGCTTTATCATTGGATGCTGCGTTCTTACTTTGTTTCAAGCCATGTTGGAATTTCGGGCATCTTGAGGGTTTATTGAGTGGTTAACCACTCATCCGATACGTGAACGATGTGAGCGTGTTGGATCGGCACGCTTATTAGCCATTCTCGTGCGTTCTTAGCACTCTTAGTTTTAGCGCATCACGACTAGCATGCGCTTCTCCTGTTGCATTACCAAGATTTTGCTTCGTTGGAGCATTCCCACGCATTCTCAGCGCTTAGTCACAGTTCTCTTAGCAGTTGTTTGAATAGCACTCAGATGTGATGCATGGCGTAAATTTGTTTAGTCTGAAACTTCAATTTCGAGGACATCTCCTTGCGTTGAGTGTGTCATTTTGTTGGTTTTAAATACTAGACTTTTTGTGACGTCTTGCTATCGCTTGTTTTCTTCAAATTTGAAGGCTTATTGTTATTCCTTGCGTAAAGACGTTCATATTTCTCATTTCATCATTAAGAAGTATGACGTCTTATGCGGGTGCTCCAGCTAAGGAGCCGGCTCACAAAGTCTTACCGCTTAACTCCCGCATTCTTTCCGGTATGGAACGTCGCACTGTGGCTGCCCACCCGTGGCACGATCTGGAAATCGGTAAGGTTACCTTTTGTTGGCCTATCCACTGTAGACGATCTTCATTCAGTTAAATTTTTTATTTTTATTTATTTATTATTATTATTTTTCCCTTCTGAAGATTTTTATCAATCTCCAACAGTGCCTATCGTTCATATTTATTAATTTTTTTTTTTTGGTTTTTTTCGGTTCAGGTCCTCAGGCACCTGCCATTTTCAACTGTGTAAGTGACGTTAAACTATCCGAAGCAGTGTTCTCCCTGAAAGAACGATTTACATGTATGTGTGTGTCTGTGTAAGTACTCCCTTGATTCTGCAGATCGCACTGAGTAAATGCGTACCAAAAGGAAGTTTCAAAACTTCATCATGCACTTAGACTGAGATTTGGTTCATGTAAGTTTTAGAATACATTTCAAAGTCCAGATTCTTTTTGTGATGAATTTCTGAGCGCGGTTTGCATGCATTTACAGGTTATTGAAATCGGAAAGGGGAGCAAAGTCAAGTACGAGCTTGACAAGAAGAGTGGTCTGATCAAGGTTGACCGTATCCTGTACTCATCGGTTGTGTATCCCCACAACTATGGTTTCATCCCCCGCACGCTCTGTGAAGATGAGGATCCCATCGATGTCCTTGTCATCATGCAGGAACCTGTTCTCCCTGGATGCTTCCTTCGCGCTCGCGCTATCGGCCTTATGCCCATGATTGACCAAGGTGAGAAAGATGATAAGATCATCGCTGTCTGTGCTGATGATCCCGAGTACAGAGACTTTAAGGACATCAAGGAGCTTCCACCTCACCGTCTTGCAGAAATTCGTCGGTTTTTTGAGGACTGTAAGTCTTTCATGTCCTAACTTTGGACCGAGATATGTGAAGCATTCTGTTTTTTATATATTGATATGCTTTGATATTCCCTGCTGTGCGTCTGATTTAGTTCTTGCTAAAGCGGGTACGATATCTTTTTCACTGGCACTTCGTTTTTCGACAGACAAGAAAAATGAGAACAAGTCAGTTGCTGTTGACGAATTCCTGGGTCATGAGGCTGCTATTGCCGCTATCGGCCACTCGATGTAATCAACTCAACTTTGCCGTTCCCTTTTTTACTTGGAATTATTCTAATTTACGCTTCTTGTCCAAATCACTTACGAAGTGGAGTGTCTCATCCAAGCTGAGGGATATCTTAATCTGTTTATCGTTGAGTAGCTTAGGCTATCTCTTGATTTGGTGTGGTACTTATTATCATGGTTGTTGCGTGCAGGGATTTGTATGCCTCGTACATTGTGGAGAGCTTGCGCCAGTAAGAGCCTTGCACTCACACATCCCGTAGCAAGTAGTGGAGTACCACATCGGCTATTAAAATTCAGTTAAAATGGTTGTATTGGAGTGACTACATCGTCATACCGACGCACAATTTTTATTATTTATAATAGTAGTTTATCGAACTAATCTTCTCTCTCGACATCAGTTTTGAACCTGATTGTGAACCTCGCCAAGGATAATCATAAGCTGAAACATGCGTAGTTCATTATGTTACGGATCATAATTTATTGAGACTGTTACCATTATACAAGGCCGACTTATTTGTTCCGATTCAATTTAGTGTCATGTAGAACAACGTTGTTGATGATTTCTACTCACGGATTTGCGAAATTTGTTCTGGAAATTATGGATGTAGTGTAGGTCTGAATCACTTCTCGAATCGAAATTAGCCCCAGCACTTAAGTCTTGCGGAGAGTTCGTAAATGGAGTACAAATAATGAACTTAAATTTTGTTTTCTTTTTACAGGTCTCATGCTCCAGTGCCTAATAAAACTATATCTCGAACCGAATCGTCGAAAATGATGTGCGGTTCGTCGCTGCGTCATAGACTTCGTTCGGAGAGAAAGTCTCTTTTGAAAGAGGAAGTGCAAGAGGAGCCCATCGCGGGGCAGATCTCAGACTCGTCGCTCCAAAGTACGGCAACTGAGGTGCAGAATGGTAGCAGCTGAGCTTCACTGAACGGCAACGCAACTGCCGAACTGCCGCTCCATGCGGCTGAAATGCTTCATACGTGTTGCATTTGATGGCAGGAGCATACGACTCTACTAAAGTGCGCTTATTGAACACAAGGATTTTCTGTGATATCTACTATTCTAGTTCCATGTACAAAATTGAGTGCATGATGTCATTCTGAAGGTATAAGTCATCGTAGTTACGTATTACGTAATTAACGTTCTCGAATGAGTTTTTCGGAGAGTGTTTCAGAATATTATTCTGATAGTCGAAATGACTTGCTCTCCCATGAAATTAAATTTTTAACCTTCACTATTGTTGTCATATGCAAAGTACATACGACTAATGAAAATGCAAGTGATTAATTAGAAATTTGCAACTGCAGAATAGTCCTGTCCATTAAATTACGAAATCAGAAAAACCAACCGTTTTCACATTGCTTGTGCAGACACTTGTTCTTGTACACATCTTAAATAGACATCATACACACCACCGAATCAAACTGCAAAATAATGTTTGTTACCTGTCCACTACTGCTGAAAGTGATGAAAAGTTGTATACTATTTCATGAAATACCCCATCACATGTCCAACACTTTCCAGTTAGTTGCATGTGTCTCTTCCGCTGGCAATATTGCTTACCTGTGTTGCCGTTCTATTGATAGGTTGAATCACACGTATAACAATCGGCGCATACTCTAAGATGAGATTTAAGAGAACAATCATATTCATGAAAAGCAGTGAATCTGGAAGAACAATAGCAATTATCAAAACTGAACGCAATCGTAAAAAGTGATTCCCACTACTGCGCAGTAATTCAGACTCCTCAAGTTCACAAAAATTAATGTAAGCGCCCATTAATCAGGAAAAGCAACATCTTTCTTTCTCGTGCAAAGAAGTACTGATACAATTCAAGGTCTCAAGGGGGCCATGCAGTTTACACTGGTCTGTGGTAATTGTGGTGCCATTGTCCACAGCACAGTTATAACTGGGATAAATGGAGAAGCTATCTACAAAATATTTGTGCTCTCCTTTACGGACATCCTACAAAACGGTACGACATACTTCAAACTACATCTCTACTTCGCATTTGGAATTGATTCATCTTCTACTCATTTGGACAGCTTTGAACGTTCGACATCAGGCTAATTCTCTAATCGACCTCCTGGCAGGGCAAACCCCAAAACAGGTCTAGAACTCAAAAAGACGAGGAAATTCGAAACGAGGCCGAGAATCAGGGCAGTCATATGGTTGGTTTCTCAAGCTGGTCGCATGCGGTCGAACATCTTACTCGTCTTCGTCCACGCCAGCTAGTTCTTCTTTCAGACACTCCCTCATCACATTGGCTAGCTTCGCACATGCATCCAAAGAAACACTCAAGGCTTCCCTCATCGTCGCATCAGGCCACTGTCCAGTGATCTTCAGCTGTGTGATCTCATTCCGGGACGCCATAAACGTGACCATCATTTCACCATCGCTACACTTCTCCTCCTCCAAGGTCGTATCCAAGAGCACCTCCTTGCCCACGTAGCCAGTAGAAACAGCAGAAACCAGGTCGTACATTGCAATGCCGGCATCAGCCAACGCCATCGAAGCGCACGAAATCACCGCCGGCAAGTCCCCTCCACCCGACTGCAGAATAAGCGCAAAGATGTCCACAGTCGTCTTCGGAAACGTGTGAAGCATCACGGCGCCCTCCAATGCCTTGTGCAGCAGCACCGGGAACTCTTTCTCCTCTGCACCCTGGTTCGCTTTTCCCCTAACCGAGGTTGCGAACGACGCATACTGGACGTTGCAATTCAATCTTCCGATCCCACTGAAGGCTTCGGCCTTGTGGCTCTCCCGAGGCCCGAAGACTGAGACGATCACCTTCGTCTGTCCGATCTCCGCGTACGCCGACCCTGCTGCTGAACTCACCGCTCCCGTTTTCAAGAAATTCAGTCGACATTCATGCAGCTGGCGCCCGTCGTGACGGTCTCCATCGGCCGTCAAGAGGCGTGCCGGCCCTCGACTAAAGGCCGCCTCACCAACACCAGAGTTTGCGTCGACGGCATACGAAGCAGCGACCTCTCCCCGCCTCTTCGCCATAGCTCAAGCCCCTTCTGCAACACAACGCAACGAGTCGCTAAAACCCTAAACCTCCCCTTCCCTCCCTCCCTCACGTCAAGTTCCCAATCCACGTCCCAAACACTCCAGATCCCAAAAAGAGACTTTGAGGTCATGTATTATATTCCAAAAAACAAGACCTAATCAATCAGATTAATGTGTAATTTAAGGTTAATTGAATAAATTGTAATTTCTCATTTATTAGGGTTATTTTATGAGAAGATAATGTTGAAGAAATTTATAATGAAGGATCTTTAGATAGTAGTAATAGTAGTAGTAGTAGTAATAATAATAATAATAAAGATTATAAAAGAAAAAGAAAACTACTTATAATATTTCTCTACATATAATTGGAGACAAGAGTTTTAAGGTTATATCATGATTATATTGTAAAACTTCTTTACATTGTTTAAAAAATAAATTAGAAGAATAAGAAATCTTTTATATATACAAATACAAAAATGGCAATCAAATTTTAAAAAATTAAAATTTTTCATTTAGTTAAATTACATATATATCTAATCACAACAACATATACAACAAGGCTCTATAAATAAAGTCTTTAGTTCAATACTTAAAGCCATTCAATATAAAGAATGTTCTCTTTTCAATTCAAATCAAAGCTTATACAAATTCAAAGGTGATTACAACCAATTCTTGAAACTATTACTATAGGTATGAATCAATACAGAGACTATTAAAATATAGATTCCAATTTTTAAATTAAATGAAATTTCAAAAATATGAATAAAATATTAAGCAATAAAAAATATTAATTCTACATAGTCTTACAATAGTGTATTTATAATTATATAAAAGATATAATTACTATTATTTTATTCATTGATGAATTGAATTTTTTTCATTATGTCTTTTTACCTTATATTTAAGAAATCAATCATATCTTGTAAAGATCAATAGAAATAAATATATAATTTTTTGATAGTTGTAATGTTAAAAATATAAATAAAGACAAAATTTTGTAAAGATAATACACCCTGGTATTAATAAAGATAGAAAATAGACAAACAAGAATAAATATGAGATAGAAGATAGAAAGAAATATAATTTAGTTATTTATTACATAAAATCTATAAATTCTTGAACTAAAAATAGAATATAAGAAAAATATTAAAAAAATTAAGGATAGCTTTAATCTTACATCTATATATATATATATATATATATATATATATATAGTTACCAAAGAGGTCTTATGGAAGCTTTTTACAAACTGTGAAGCTTGTAGTTCAAGTGTTAAGTTGTAAATTGTTTCTAGGACAACTTTCTAAAAGGAAAATAATATATAGATTCTTTTTGAATAATCACATGGCTTATCTATAAAAGTCTAATATCTAATTTACATCTATAAAACTTCATAAAAGCTTCTAAAGAAAGATATTATCCACCTAACATATTTCTATCTACTTCTATTTATTTAAATAATATGATCATCCATTATATTATCTTTGCTTTTAGGATATCAATTCTATAAGAAATAATTAAATTATTTTATAAGTTAATAAAAATTAAGATACACTGAATGTTTTTAGTTAAAAGACTTTATTTTTATTTTACATTAAGGTTATTTATAGATTTCTTTAACTATTTATAATGTATCATAATAAGATACAAAGACCACTCAATTATTTAATTGTTATTGAGGTCTTCATGACTATCTTCAAAGAAAAAAATTTATATGCCATAAAGTATGATATTTTCTTCTTATAGTATTACTAATTATCAAGAGTGTTTTCCAAGATTGTGGTATTAAATATGTTCTATATTTTTAAAATATATATATATATATATATATATATATATATATATATATATATATATATATATATATATATCTTGTAAAGATCTTCATTTAAATTTTGATGCATTCTAAATTAAGGCTACCTAAGTATTTTATATCACAATTTTATAAATGATAATTCTTGAGATGAAGTTTTTAGCTATTGATTTTTTCATATTGCAAAGAAATTCTAAGAATTAATTTTTAGATTTTTTTTTCTTATTTTGTACCATATTATTATTAATATTTGGTCTTTAATTCTAATGGATGTTATTGATGAAAAATAGAAATAAATCCTAACACATTTGCAAGAATCTTAAGTGGCTCATTATTAGGGACATAGTCTTTAGAACCTTCCAGAGACAAGTTTCTAGAATCTTCTAGAAGCAAATCTTTGGAACCTTCTAGAAGCTTCCTAGTAGATGGAAGTTGCTTGAGAAGCTTCTTAGTTAGTGGAAGTTGCTTGAGAAGCTTCTTAGTTGATAGAAGTTGCTTGAAAAGCTTCCTGAATAGGAGTATATATTGGAATCGAGGCTGAAGAGTTCTTCAGTCTCGACAACACATCTCTTGGAGCTCTAGCTCATGTCTCTCGTGTTGTTCTTATATTCATTTGATTAATCTAGTTCTTGACATTTCTTCTTGAACTTCTTGTTAGATCTCGAGCCTATATTTCTGTGTCCATGAAAATTTCTGTATCCGTGACAGTTTGTCGAGACTAAACTCACCTCAAATATCAGAGCTAGTTTCTTCCTCGTTAGAGTGTGGATTACTCCTCTGCTTGAAGGTGTACTAGCGTTTTAGAGATTGCGGATTACCCTCTTCTAAATTGATACTTCTTTTGTTACAATATTGGAGTCTTATTCTTCTTGGAGAGAGTGGATTATCCCTTTTTTTGAAGCATTTAAGGTGTTTTAGAGGTTGCGGAGTACCCTCCTCTAAACCAATATTGTCTTCTTGTAGAGTCATTTCTGTCCTTCTCTTAGAATGGCCGGAGGCCAAGACATTAGTATGACAAAAAGTTTGGAGTCCAAGTTGGATGTTATTATGAATGTCCTTACTACATTATCGCAAAGAAGTGCAGAGATTGAAGGAGTCATGGCAAGGCTTCATAATGATGGAGCATCTGGGATGGCACAATCTAGGTTGCACCAACCTCAAACTTCTGCACTTGGAGAAGCAACTTTGCCTCAAGTTTGACAAGCACCGCTGGTTCTACAACATAAGGAGTCTCAAGTTAGCCTTCCAGACAAGTTCGATGGTATGCGTTCCAAGTTTCGAGGATTCATCAATCAAATCAGGTTGATAACAGTTTTACAGCCCGAATGCTATCCAACGCAGGAGTCACATGTTGGACCTGTTGGAACCTCACTTATAGGGCAAGCTCTATCATAGTTTGCTCCTTTGTTTGAGAAACAATCATCCATACTAAACAACTTTGAAACCTTTTTGGAGGCGTTTGGGGAAGCATTTGGTGAACACGACAAGGTTCAATGGGCTACAACAAAGATCCGATCACTACGATAAGAGATGCACTCTACATCAGTCTATGCATCGGATTTCAGGCAATTAGCATATGACATCAATTGGGATGAAGAAGCATTGATGAGTCAATTCTATTGGGGTTTAAAGGACGATGTGAAGGATTTGTTGTTAACTCTTCTTGATCCACGAACGCTCAACGAAGCTATTAGCCAAGCTATGAAGTACAATAACTACCTATTTCAACGTTGCCAAGATCAATGTTCAAGATAATATATGATTTGCCACGCCCCAACTATGTTGGCAAGTAGCGTGAATTCACATTTAGATGTAGAAGACATGCAAATTAATGCGATACATGTCAAATCTCTTACTCTAGAAGAAAAAAAGCAACGTATGGAAGAAGGTCAATGCTTATATTGCAGTGAAGAAGGCCACAAAAATGGAAGCTGTCCCAAGAAGTAAAATTGATACACTGTCAGGACCAAGGATGCGTTTGTTTAGGAAAACGAAGATGTCAGCTACAATAGGAACCGTAAGGCTGGACAGTGAAATATCGCAACAACAACCAGGTTCCTTTCTTTCCGCTCAACCTGCCCTTTGTTTTATAATCCCTTTGTTCATTGGCCCTCAAAAACTGAGAACCTTAGCATTATTAGATTCAGGAGCATCTGCTTGTTTCTTAGACGAAGAATTTGCGAAGTGTCATAAGATCTCTTTAGTACAAAAATCCAAACCTGTTAACGTTGAGGTCATAGATGGACGACTTTTATTGTCTAGTAGTGTCACCCATGAATCAGAACCTAAAGAAGTGACGTTTAAGGGCCATAGTAGTCATATTATTTTCAATATTATTAAAACTCCATCAAATTCTGTTATTCTTGGTCTTTCCTGGTTGAAAAAGCATAACCCATTCATAGATTGGAGGTTGTGGAAGATGACCTTTTCCACAAAACCACCCAAGAACAAGCCTAGTAGAAAACCCCGAATAGAGAAATCCTTATTTATTAGAGCAAGAGCGTTTATAAGATCGTTCAAGGAAGGTACACTGTTTGTCATTTATGCGGCTCTAACTACTGGAGTGAAGATCTCGACAGCAAGTATATCGAAGTAATATAAGGATTTTAAAGACGTGTTTCAAAAGAAGAATGCCGACATGCAACCGGAACACCGACTATATGATTGTGCCATAGACTTGCAAGAAGGAGTACAACTGCCTTTTGGCCCAATCTACAATCTATCGCAGACGAAGTTGGTGGAGTTGCAGAAGTACATCGACGAGAATCTAGCCAAGAACTTCATCCGTCATTCAAAATCGTCAACTAGGACGCCCATCTTATTTGTGAAGAAGAAAGATGGCTCGTTGTGGATGTGCGTGGACTATCGAGGCCTCAACAAGATAACAAAGAAGAATTGTTACCCGTTACCCTTGATTTTTGATCTCTTAGAATAACTTGGATGTAGAAAGATCTTTATAAAAATTGATCTAAAGAGAGCTTACAACCTCATACGAATCAATGAAGGAGATGAATGGAAGACAACGTTCCGTACAAGGTATGGCCATTTTGAGTATAATGTCATACCTTTTGGTCTTACCAATGCTCCAGCGGTCTTCCAACATATGATGAATGATATTTTTCGGGAACACCTTGATAATTTTGTTGTCATCTACTTGGATGATATTTTGATGTTCTCTAGAAACGAAAAAGAGCATGAAAAGCACGCTCGTTTGGTCTTAGAGAAA